TCTTTTTTTTTTTTTTTTTTTGAGAGATTTTCACTGTAGGGCACGTGCGCTCGCCAGACAGACAGAGAGAGACATAGAGACAGAAAGCGAGAAATCACCCCCCAGGGGGGATGGTCACGCCGCAATCCCTTCTCCTCCATTCTCCTCTCGGGATCTTGGGCACGCACGCACACGCGCCCGGCGTGAGTTTTAAGCCACCGGGTCTGGGACACGAAGCACGGTCGACTACGTGGGAGTCCAGCGACATAGCCATTACGCTAACTGCTGGTTCCCCGAGCACTGACTCTTGTGCCTGGTGTAAATGGTTGAGGTCACTGTTTCTGGGAGATACCTCTGCTTTTTTGCTCAGTCAGCAATTATCCCTCTTTATTGAGGAGACTCTCAGCCTCCTCTCTTGCTTTGTCAAATAGTGCAGTGAACTACTTGGAGGGTCTTTCTGTTTATTCTTGAGAATAACAGTTTTGTTTTTCATTTCATTGAGAATGCACTGTTAGATGAAGATGCCCCTCTTTTTACCTTTTTTTTTGTGTGTGTGTGTGTTGAGACTCTCCGGAATCTCTGAAATGTTACAGTCAGTTCAAAATAGTATAGTCATGATTACATGATTAGGAGCTTGTCCTTCTTCATGGTTAGGAGTAATACATTTGGAGAAATAATTCTTCTTTCTAAAGGAATTTGTGGAATCATCATTATATGTTTGCACATTAAGCAAGAAGATAACTCTCTCTGCTCTGAAGCAGTTCAGAACAACATTACCACTTTCTGTTTGCTAATCACATGTGGATACGTTTATCAGCCAGGATGTAAACTTATCAATGACTAGAGTGTAACTTCTGCTCTTAGAGGTTTTTTTTACATTGCCGGTTTGCATTTTTGGGTCTCATACTTTTGATTATGTTTCTTCTCCCAAATTCTTATGTTGAAGTCCTGATCACCAGTGTGACTTTATTTAGAGACAGGATGTTTAGAAAGGTAATTAAGGTTAAATGAGGTCATAAGGGTTACTATGGGGTTAGTGCCCTTATAAGAAGAGGAAGTGAGAGGACTCTCTTCCCACGAGCATGCACTGAAGAAAGGTCCTGTGAGCGCATAGTGAGAGGGTGGCTGTTAAAAGCTACGAAAAGAGCCTTCACTGGAAACAAAATCAGCCTGTACCTTGGTTTTGGACTTCCCAGTTTCCTGAACAGTGAGAAATGAATTCCTTTTATCTAAGCCACCCAGTCTGGTTATGTCTGTCCAGCAGACTGACATAGTCTATCACATGGGATATGTGGCAAAGTCTATGGATTCTTTTGCTAGACAAAAAATGTGCAGAAATGTGAACATCACATTTTCATATAATTTGGGGTGGGCTATGGCCTCACCTGACACCCATTTGTGAGCCTTCTGGAACTCAGTGGTGTGCTCAGGGTGGGCTTTACCAAGTATCTGTAAGGCCTGTAGACTGAGGCAGTGCATGTGGTTAGGGAGGCCCCTTGAAAGGTATTCTGGTCAAGGAAACAGAAGTGGCCCTGGAAAGCAGACTTGGGATGCAGTTCCTGGAGCACAAAGTAAACTTACCCAGGTTCTCTTGGCCACTGGTAGGAAGAGGCATCAGTGCGGTGGGGTGGGAGAGAGGTTGGGATACAGTGGCTATGGGGGACTGCCTGCCACTGGGCTGGGGAGCGTGGAGCACAGCCCTGATGCAGCCTCCTCTTTTGCTGTGGCACAAACACTTTAGAAACTCCAATTATGGAGATTCCTGCCCTGGGATATACCCATAGACCCTAATAGAGTGGACCAGATGTGAGCTGGGGGATTCACGTTTGAGGGGACAGGTAGCCTATCCTGGGGGAGAAGGGAGGAGTATGTGTCCAATCAAGGGCTGCCAAGTGAATTGTGGTGACTGGCTTGTTTTCATTGGACTTAAAGTTGGCCACATATGAACTGAGGGCATGCTTGCGGGTGGAGTGGTAGTAGAGTAAGTAGAATTGGTTACGTTTGGCTAAACAGTTGAGAAGTGTCTGGTCATTGTCGTCTAGGCCTTCACACACTAAAGTTTCAGTAGGTATCAGAATGCACTGTATGTTTTATGCACTATTTAGCTTGTTACCTTCCTGTTTTGGTCTTTCCATGTCTGTTACTTTGGTGGGCTGGGAGCAAGGTTGTGTGGTCAGGAACGCCCCACTTTTCTATCCAGTGACCACAGGAGGCTGAGGTGGTGAAGTGCTGCTGCTTCTGGCTTCAGCCTGAATGATTTCCTAGCAGATTCCCTGGGAGCAAGCTTGAATTTCCAGTTGGGGCTAACGTAAGTGGTAGGAATTGAATGAGTCACGGAGAAAGGAGGTTGAGTTGCAGTGAAAGAAGAGCGTAAAGGAAAGGAAGGACGGAAGCAGTTCTCTTGCTTTTGTGGTTGCCCACAGTGATTTAATCTCTGCTCTATCATGTAGGGGATCAGTCTTTTTAGATGCTTTTAATGACTCAGGGATGGACAGCCTTTAACACTTCCTGTCCTGTCTTCAGATTCTTCACCTGCAGAAAAAAAGAGTGTAGGGTCCATGTGAATCAGTTAGCTTACAAAAGTGAACTTCATGTGTTTTCTCTTAAAAGGAAGCTTAACAAGATAACTCAGTTTTCTTGGGCTAATGACTCTTCTGAAAAAAGAATGTGTTCATGATTTTTGATGTTTTTTTGTTTTTAGATCACATGAAAGGATTAAGAGCCCCTACCTTGAAAAGAAGGTTAGAGTGCAGGTAATTTATTTGGCTATTTGTGTGTGTGTGTGTGTGTGTGTGCATGTATGTGTGTGTGTGTGTTCGTGTTTTTAGGTTTTTGTCGTTTGGTGCATGTGCTCACCAGAGGGAGACAGTGACAAAATAGAAGGAATATAAGAAATCACCCCGTAGGGGAGATGGCCACCCCACAATCCGTTCTCCTCCATTCTCCTCTTGGAATTTTAGGCATGCATGCACATGCACCCTGCATGAGTTTCAAGCGACTTTGGTTGGCCATGTGGAAGTCCAATGCTTTATCCACCACACCACCTGCTGGCCTCAGATGTGTGTGTGTGTGTGTGTGTGTGTGAGTGTGTGTGTTTTAAGTCAATATTTAATTTTTTTAGAATTATTTTATTTGACTTTATTTATTTATTTACTTGACCAGAGAGTCCAAGACTCGAGCCGTGGTCAGCCATGTGGGAGTCCAGCTCCCTTAACCACCATGTCGCCTGCAGTCCCTATTTATTTATTTGTTTTAATTTGACCAGAAAGGGACAGAATGAGAGAAAGAGAGAGAGAGAGAAAGTGAGAAAGCAAAGCAAGCCACCAGGTCTGGGACTTGAACCATGGTTGGCCCTGTGGGAGTCCAGTGCTCTTAACCACCATACCACCTGTTGGTCCCTAAGTCAACATTTTAATTGAGAGAGAAAATCTATTCAGAAAAATACATACCCTAAGTGTAGCTCTGATGAACTTTTATAAAATAAAACATTTGTGGCTTCCACCCAGATGAAAAAGTAGAAAAGTACCAATATCCCAGAGCCCCTAACTGCTCCCCTCCCAAAGGTAACCTCTGTTCTGACATTTGTCATTGTGGTTTAGCTTTGACTGTTTTTGAACTTTGTGTAAATAATATCATATCAACTAGACTCTTATATTTGTTTACTTTCACTGAATGTGTTTATGTGATTCATCCATGTCTTGGTTGTAGCAATAACTTGTTTATTTTAATTTCTTTAAGCTTGTGTGTATGTGTGTGTGTGTGTGTGTGTGTGTGAGAGAGAGAGAGTGCAAGAGAAAGGACATTCCATTATAGAGAATCATATAGTACTATTGAATATTTTCTTAAAGTTGAATTATTGGATTTTTTTTCCTACAGCCATTGCCTAAATCTAAATTCCAATTTCATGAGATTATGTGTTTAGAAATGGCCCTGTTGACTTTTGAACCAGTGGCTTCTCTGCCAATTGATAACAGTAGTCTGTTCTTAATAGTGATATCTAATGTTCGTTAAATAGTTATTGTATTCCAGATACTATTTCTTCATGAAACAATGTTTTTGAGTGCCTGTGATGAGTCAGGTTGAGACTACATTATTGAGCAACACAGATGGAAATCTTTGCCCTTTTGAGGCTGATATTCTCATTCGAGCCTCTTGATAACCTTTTGAATAGATGCTCTTATTATTTCTGTTTTACAGATGAGGAAACTGAGGAACCAGAGAGGTTAAATTAGTTGCCCAATATCACGCAGCCAATAAATGGCAGGACCAGGATTTCAACCAGGTCTGTCTGATTTTAGAGCCTATATGTCAGTTATATATTGCTGCGTAACAAATTATTCCAAAATAAAGTGGCTTAAAATAGCACTAATCATGTATTATCTCCCAATTTTTGTGGGCCCAGAATTCTGACAGAATATGGTGGGGATGAATTGTTTCTGCCTAACTGGGCATCCTATGGGACTAAAATTTTCTGAAAACTCTCTCACTGTCTCACCTCTGGGTTGGGAAGACTCCAATAGCCAAGGTTAAAATAGTTGGAGCTCTTTGATATAATAGCTTTAGAGATAGGGAGGACCTCTTTCTGTCTCTAAGATGTCTCTTTAGTGTGGTGGTTTGAGGATGGTTGGGCTTTTTTTAAAAAAAAATTTTATTTTATTTTATTTTTTTTTAGATTTTTGTCATAGGGTGCATGCACTTGTCTGAGAGAGATAGCAGAGAGAAAGTGAGAAATCATCACCCCAGCAGTGATGGCCACACTGCAATATCTTCTCCTCCATTCTCCTCTTGAGAATTTGGGCATGCGCACACACATGCCCAGTGTGATTTTCAAATCACTGAGTTTGGGACTTGAACTACCATTGGACATCTGGGAGTCCAGTGCCTTAACTATATGCTACCTGCTGGTCCCTAGCTGGGATTTTATTTTTGGAGAGGTTTTTGCTATAGGGCGTGTGTGCTCGCCAGAAAGACACAGAGAGACAGCGAGAAATCATCCCCTGGGGGGATGGCCAGGTCGCAATCCATTCTCCTCCATTTTCCTCTTGGGATCCTGGGCACATAGGCACATGTGCCCGGCATGAGTTTAAGTCACCAGGTCCGGGACTTGAACCACAGTCTACTATATGGTAGTCTAGCGACATAGCCATTATACCGACTGCTGGTCCTTCTAGCTGGGATTTTTAAATGGAGACCCAAGGTTTAAAAAACATATGTCCCAAGAGAGAGCAGGGATGAAGCTGTACTGCTGGAGATCTCACCTCAAGAGTCATGCCATTACTTTCACCACATGCTGTGGTTAATGCAGCTATAAAGTTCTATGCAGATTCAAGGGGAGGGAACATAGACTCTTCGTGTTTAAAGGAGGAATTTTTTTTTAAAGAGGCTTTTGCCTTAGTGCACATGTGCTTGCTGGAGGGAGAGACAGAGAGAGAGACAGAGAGAGAGACAGAGAGAGTGAGAGGGAAAGTGAGAAATCTCTCCCTATGGGGATGGCCATGTCGCAGTATCTTCTCCAGTCTCCTCCTGGGGTCTTGGGCACGCACACACACGTGCTTGGCATGATTTTCAAGCCACCGGGTCCAGGACTCAAACTGCAGTCGGCCATGTGGGAGTCCTATGACGTAAACATTGTGCCATTTTCTAGTCCCAGAGGAATCTTTTTTTTTTTAAATCGTCCAGAGGGTATGTATGCTTGCTGGAGAGAGACAGAGAGAGAAGGAAAGTGAGAAAGCACCGTCCATACTTTTGAATAGATGCTCTTATTTCTGTTTTACATATGAGAAAACTGGGGGATGATCGTGCTGCAGTCCCTTCTCTTCCATTTACCCCTCCTTTCAGGATTTTGGGCACACATACACAGATGTCTGGCATGTTTTTCAGGCCACTGGGTCAGCCATGTGGGATCCAGCCACCTTCCCACTGCACCACTGGCTGGCCTCAAAGGAGGAATTTTGATATCTGTTTTGTAAGATGAGCATGTACAGATGGTGGTATGGCCATCTTTGGGGGATATAACCTGCCATGGATAATATTCTTAACCTCTAAATGACACTGTTGAATTTTTAAAGTTTATTATGAAATTTCTACCCACTAATAGAAAAAATAGATTTATATGAAGTCAAAAACTGAAGTATGCTCCTACTCCTCTTTTCTATTCTCCAGAGGTAACTTAACATTTATTGGTATCTTTCTAGACATACCTGATTAAGTACAAACATATATATTTTTTCTTTTTTGGGGGAGAGGTTTTTGCTATAGGGCACGTGCGCTTGCCAGACAGACAGAGATGAAGAGACAGAAAGCAAGAAATCAACCCCCAGAGGG